GAGCAGAGCATCTAACCATGCACTAATGCTAACCGGTCACTAGTCTTAGAGTGTGCCATGCTCCTTCTAACTCCCTGACCTTTGCTTGTGTTGACCCCACCTGGAAGGCTTCCCCTTGTACAGTATACCTGCCCCAAATCTTGCTCTTCCTTCAAAGTCTTGCTCATAAGTCACTTTCTCTGCAAAGCTTTTTCCATCTTCCCCAGAAAGAGCTGTTTCCCACTCTCTGGTTTTAAAATTGAGAACTTTGCTTCCCCATCAGGCCCAGAGCCCCTCAGCGGGCAGGAACTGTTCTGTATCTCCCTTCAGTGTTCGGCACAGTGCCTGGCACAGAGTGAGTGCTCTCTAAAGGTTTGGTGACCAAATGACTGGCCCCAGGACTCCTCCCCAACACACAGTTGTGAGGAACTGCTAGGCATCTCCAGTTGGAAGCCAGGAGGGAGTAGGAAGTTGCAGGGTCCCAAAGTAGGAGGAGCTTAATGTAGGGGTAAAGATAATGTCATTAACTTCATCACTCATACATGGGGCAGTTCTGTCCCCAGGGGATCCAGCTGGTAGGGAAGTTCCATCCTTACACCATCCCTATAAATCTTTGGGAATCAGCTGTCCACCCCCAGGGGGTTTCCCCTCTTGCAGTGCCAGGAACTGAACCATGATGGGAAGTGATCTTGGCTGGGTCTCTGGACACTACAGGAGGAAGTGTGGCCAGAGTGCACATGCTCAGAGCCTGTGCCACCCCAGCCAGAGCTCTTTGGACTTCAGTAACTAGGGGTTACGTGGCTTTGGTAACAGGGTAGTTCCGGGGTGGTGGGGACTTCCTCGGTTGAGGGAAATTGCTCCATTGCCAGAGCTGTGGGGTAAGAACTGTTCCAGTGCTTCTCAGCAGCCCGTCACTGTGCCCTGGCTAGGACTGTGGGCAATTTCAGAGCTTGCAAAAGCCTTAGGCCTTTAAGAGAGTCTTCTAGTCTCTCTTGGCCACAGTCTCTAGCCAACTGACTCCTCCCTCTAAGGCTGTCTCACTTAGGAACCTAGTAAGGCTTTCTGTAGCCTCAGGTCCAAATGCCTCAGCCTGAGATCACTACATCCCAAAGTCTGGTAGACAGGATAGGTGGGCAACTAGGAGCATGGGCTCTGGGGTTAGCCAGCTATGGGTCCAAATCCCAGCTCACTGTGTGACCTTGGGTCATTCACTTTGCCTCCTTGAGCTCCAGTTCCTTCAGCCATAAAATGAGGATAAATAGACTTGAAAAGATCAAAATTAAGGATTTGTTCAATGGAACAAAGTTGCTCCAAGGAAAGCACCCTAGACCAAGTGGTTCTCAAAGTGTGATCCCTGGACCATCACCGTCACCTAAATACTTGTTAAAAATGCAAATTCTTGGGACTCATGCTTGCTCTATTGAGCCAGAACCTCGGGGTGGAGTTTTCAATCTGTGTTTTAGGAAACCTTGCGGAGATTCTAACGCATGCTAAAGTTTGAGAACCACTGCCATAGCTAACATATGGGCAACATATTGGGAGAAGGTGTCTGGAACATCAACAGCCAACAAGAGGTTAATATCTAAAATGTATGAGTTACCCCTGCAAATCAACAAGAGAAAGGCAAGTAACCCAATAAATAATGGGCAAAAGATCTGGACAGGCAATTCACTGAAGGGGGAGCCCAAATGCCTGACAAGTATAGCAGGAGGTTCTGAATTTCAGGATTAATAGAGAAATACAAGTTAAAACAATGAGAGGCCACCTTCTCACCCAATCTCGAGGCAAAATTACAAAGTCCGATAATGTAAAAGCTGATGAAAGCGTGGGGAGAGAGCATCCTTCTCAGGTTGCTAGTGGAGCCACTTTAGCAGAATTTAGTGACATTTAAAACCTGTATGACCTGTGATGTAGTAATTCTACTCTTGAGTACAGAGCCCGAAGAAGTTTTCATGTAGCTCCATAAGAGTCATCCACAAAGATGTGAGTCTCAGGGTTGTTTGTGGTCAGAGGGAGTTGGAAACAACTGGAGTGTCCATCACCGGGGGGAATGGATACATGAAACAGTGGATGCTCAGCTTGGAATATTTTGCAACAAGCAGATGGGTAGATCTTAAAAACATATTATGAAGTGAAAAAGAAGCAACAAAATGAGATCCTTACCCAATACTATTTATGTAGTGTAAACACACACACAAAGCATTGTATGTATTTATGTCCAGGGACATACATCAACACATAGGAGTGGGTGCCCATGATGGGGAAGAGGAGTGTGGGGAATGTGTAGATACAAGGGGAAAATAAGACAAAGCAAAATATCAAAAGTGTCTTGCACAGACCAATTATGCTGAGATGGTCACTTGCCACAAACTGAGTATGAACTATGGAACTCTCTGGAGCTGAAGCCCTAACAATAATATTATTATTTTAAAATGGGTGATAGTAGCCCTGGCTGGGTACCTCAGTTGGTTAGAGCATCATCCGATATGCTAAGGTTGTGGGTTCAATCCCCAGTCAGGGCACATACAAGAATCAACCAATGAATGCATTACATAAGTGGAACAACAAAAATCAATGTTTCTCTCTCTCTCTCTCAATCAATTTAAAAAATGGGTAATAATAATACCTACCTCCTAGTAAGTACCATGTATCTTGCCACAGAGGGCTCTGTAATGTTATTATAAACCAGAGGCCCGGTGCACAAAATTCGTGCACTGGCGGGGGCGGTGTGTCCCTCAGCCCAGCCTTCACCCTCTCCAATCTGGGACCCCTCGGGGGATGTCCGACTGCCGGTTTAGGCCTGATCCCATAAGATTGGCAGTCGGACATCCCTCTCACAATCTGGGACTGCTGGCTCCCAACCGCTCGCCTGCCTGCCAGCCTGATCACCCCTTAACCACTCCCCTGCCTGCCTGATCGACGCCTAACTGCTCCCCTGCCGGCCTGATCACCCCCAACTGCCCTCCCCTGCCAACCTGGTGGTCGCCCCCTGCCCTCCCCTGCTGGCCTGGTTGCCCCTAACTGCCCTCCCCTACTGGCCTGATTGCTCACAACTGCCCTCCCCTGCCGGCCATCTTGTGCCCACATGGGGCGGCCATCTTGTGCGAGGGTGTGATGGTCAATTTGCATTTTACATCTTTATTATATAGGATAAACTTGCCTAGTTCTTCTAGGCAAGTCTCTGGTTTCCTTTCAGGGCTCATTTCTTTTAGCCTCCAAGCCTGTACTTGGGCTGGGCCACATGCTGTATTTATGCTTCTTGCCCTCTCCAACTCTGCCTTTAGGTTCCCTTGGCTACCCAAGACCACTGGGATGGCTCTGTGGAGTCTTGGGTACTTTTCTGGCTTAAGCATGAAGCCAGGCTGCAATGGAGCTGTGAGGGCAAGTCCTATTTCCTCTTCCCAAATTGTGCTCCCTCAGGGTCTTCTTAGATCTCACTCCCACCTCATTCCCAGCCCATTGCACACAGGGTAAAGACAGGTAAACTGAGTCAGAACGTGTTAGATGTGGAAGGGAACAGCCTTTATTGAGTGCCTGTCATGTGGCAGACCCAGCACTCAGGTCTTGACCTTTGTTCATCTCCATGACCTCCCTCTGAGGCAGGTGGGGCCCATATCATCTGACAGGAGAGGAGATGGGGGCCTAGGGGACAGGACACTAACCACGCCCCCTCTCAGGGGTCTTGGGTAGCCAAAGAAATCCAAAGGCAGGGTTGGAGAGGGCAGCCCTAGGTCTGTCTGGTTCCAAATCAAAGATCTGAATAAGCAACTTGTTTGGAGCCTTAGGACTGGGATCCAGATCACCCTCCTCCGAGTCAACTCTCAATAGAGAAAAACCTCTACTCCACACTGATGATCTGATTCAGTGGTGGTGGGGGGGGGGGGGGGGGAGTCCCTGCTATTTAGAGCCTTAGAAATACCCTCTACAGATTTAGCCTGGTCGGTTTGAGATAACATCGCAGGAGAATCAGGAGGTTCCCTCCAGTCCCTTTCCCTCTTTTAAACCTCAGTCTCTCCAACTGCAGAGCAGGAGGAACTGAAGTCTCTGGGCTGTGGGAATGCTTTTCTCAGTCGGCCAGAAGGTGGAGCCCACTCCTCACCCCTAGCGAGGCCTTCAGAAAGAAGCGCAGTCCGGGAGGAGGGGGTGTCCTGGTGCGGATCCCGGGGGCCAGGGGGGCGTGCCCATCCTGGGCCGGGCAGAGTGGCCAGCTGAGCCCCAAGCGACTGCCTCGGACTTTAGGAACCGGAGCCCTAAGGGCAGGATCTGAGACGGGGAATGGAGGCCGGAT